TAATTGGGTTCCTGCCTTTTTCTTTTTTTTTTCCTTTGCTTTGCTGCTTTGACTTAAAGAATGCCTGAAAGACTTTTTTTTGTTGTTTTTTCCTTTGCTTATTTTGTCTTCACCTGTTGGGTTTTTTTACACTAGAAAAAACAAATATCTAGTCTCTTATTCTCCTCTCCAGCTTGCAAAACCACCTCTGGGGATCTGGGGGCATGACATGATTGTACCTCTCTGGCAACAAGACTGATTTTAAAACTTCTTTCTCAGCAGTGCTGATGTAACTGATCCTTGGGCTACAATGGTGTAATCGATCCAGTTTTACACCGCAGTCTTGCCGAGGGTTGCATTGGCGCACCTGAGGAGGAAACAACTGGCAAAGGAGAAGGGAGGGAATTTCTTTCATGGGAGTTTCAGCCAGAGAAAGTAAAACATTGAAGTAATGCCTCAGTGATATTTGCTGCTTCTGTTTTATTTTTTTTTCAAGAAGCTGTGCTGAGTCCTTAAGAATACTTTTTTCCTACTTTTTTTTCCCCAGAATATCATTGAATTTAAGGATTAAGAACAAGTAAAAATTTTCAATTTCCTGATTAAAATTAACTTCCTTTAATTGCTTTACTTCCATTTTCTTGACTTTTTTATGATGTCCTGATGTTGATATTTCTCCCTAGTCAACTAGTCTGAATAGGACTAGAATTTTTATTGTTAAGAAAAGAGGCGGAAGAGAAAGAAAAACCAAGCATAAGATAAAAAATTTAAGAAGATTTTTAAAAATAAAACTTTCAGGCTTCCTTTTTGTAAAGAAACACAAAAGGGGGCACAAGCCCAATTTTTTCTCCTTTGCAGGTCACCTTTAATGAAAAGGGAGTGCTTCAAATCGAAGTGACAACAACAGGGGTCAACAACCCTTGCGTTGTAACTTCATTTTTCAGAAGATACTTGCTTTGAGAGGCAGCATGGTCCAGAAGAATAAGCACAGCATTGGGAATCTGGAACTCCTATGTTCAAATTCCAGTTCTGTCAATAACTTGCTGTGTGGCCTAAGGCAAGTTTTGTGCTAATTTTCCTCTTTTTCTTGAAGGGGAAACTGGGACTTAGTTCTACATAAATATTATCTGCATAGGATGTAAATCTTTGTTTCCTCTTTAACTTAGTCTATATTTATCTTGTGCGGGTGCAGAAGTTGGATTTTTTTTTTTAATCAAACTGAAAACTAAACTAAAATCTAAATTTTTCTCCTTGTTGCTCCGGCTAGCAGAATTCTATCACTGTGATCTGTAGGTTGGAGCAATCTTCAGACATCTTGAGGCTTTTGTTTGCAGCAGTGCTAAACATTGATAGAAATGGATTGTATTTACCTAAACAAGTATCTGCATAAGCATGTTCACTGTTTTTACCACCCAAAACCCATTGAATGACTGGAGAGGCATTGTAAAGGAGGAGTTAAAAATGAGATAATGTTATGAACATGTGAAGTGGTGTTGTCCATAATTCATTGTTTTCAACATGTTGTTCAAATTGTGGATCCATAGGAATTTTTCCTTGTGTATTGACTCTGTGCAGAGAGGTTTTAGTCTGCTGTCAGGTTTGTTTTCCATAATTAATTTTTTTTCCCTAGTTCTCTTGGCTATAGTGCAAAGAGACCCAGAAATTAACAGGCCACAGATTGAAAATTATTATACACTGGTTGCAAATCTGTTCTAAGGTCGCTTTCCTGATAAGCTTAACTGGAACATTACGTGGTGATGCAGAGGTTCTTGAGAAGAACCCCGTTCAATACTGTGTGTACTTCCTGAAACTCTAAGCGGTGAACAGAAACTCAAATTAAAGCTTCTGTGCGAACTGAGGGAGGCTTCTAAAATCAGAGCAGTGCTCATCATGTTCTGTCTTTAGTAAATATTTCACGAGATCATACTGTATATAGTAAACATGTGGCTTCGAAGTGTGCAGTGTCGGGCAGAAAGTAATGGTTTGACTTTTATCACGTCAGGTAAAGGTTTTAGAGTAACACTAACAAAATAACCGCTTTCTTTGAAAAGTCATGTTCAATTACTTGAATGCAATTATTTATAGTGTTCCAGTACCTTGGGCAGTTTTCCGTTCTCATTTCACTGTTTTCAGAAAACTGTAAAAGTGCACTGGTGATATATGAACCATAGCTTGCATGTATATTCCATATTTATTTTGACAGCTATCTTTTCTTCCTCGTGTCAGGTCTGCACAAGTTGTGACGACAATGCAGAAGCTAATGGGTTTTGTGTGGAATGCGTAGAATGGTTGTGCAAGACCTGCATCAGAGCTCACCAGAGGGTTAAATTCACAAAGGATCATACCGTAAGACAAAAAGAGGAAGTATCTCCAGGTAATACACTTGATTTATAATTTCACAAAGAATCTGTGTCTGCATTGGAAAACTGTATTAGACTACCACATTTTTTTTTAAAAAAGATAAATTTAAAAAATTGTATTCCTTAATCCTAGTAAATATAAAAGGACAGAGTCATGATATAACCCCTTGGTGCATGTGAATTAGTGGAACCATGTTATTTTTTGGTTGGTAATAGATATATTTTAATGGTTTCGTGCCTCCCAGTCACTTGTTTGAATTTCATTGCTGAAGGCTGCAACCATTTGGACAAATTCTGGTGTTTCTTTGGTCGCTCTCCATCTAAGTGGATCTCTTAAATAATCCAGCTAACAAAAGAGAAGACTTTATTTCAGGCATTAGATGCATTAGAACGTAGCTACTGAAAAGGGAGACTTTGTAATGGCTGGGGGTATGACAGCTGTTTTTCTGTCAAGTTTTTCTGCCAGGTATGCTGCATAGTGGTAAGAAACCCTACAGATTGGTATTTCGTATAATTTTTATGTAAAGTGTTTTAAACCGTTAAATACACAGAGATCTCATCTTTTACCTGGAATGATTGCAAAGTATTGTCTAGACTTTAAAGATCAGCTGCAGAAAATACTTCTTTATGCATTTAGCTCCTCTAGTTTTTCTAGAGGTCTACCAAATGGTTTATATGATTATTGTTTACCACAGCACAAGGAGCACTAATTGATTATATTTTTTTCAGCACTCTGATAATAAAGTATGCTCAGTTAGCAATAAAGCATGCCAGAATTCATGTTTTAGCTAAGTATATTTTAAGTTTGAAATGGTTTTCCTTAGAAATTAAAGGGAAGTATGTTATGAATTGGGTGTTTTTCCTCAGTAGATCTATAGTAATTCAGGTTGGAAGAGTCCTCAGGAGACCATCTAGTCCAGCCTCTTACTTAAAGCAGTCAGTTGGCCTTGAGAACCAACAAGGATGGACGTGGTGTACAGTATAGCCTTTGAGAAATCTTGACTATTCTCTTGGTAAAAAAAAGGTTGTACTTTTATTCTTTGAGAATCTGTTTTGTCACAGCATATGCCCCTTATGTCTTGACTTTTAGTGACATAGTAGGACAACTATAAACATAATACCGTGCTGACAAACTGGTTCTAATATGTCCATTGGACTTGCGTGATTTATCTTGTAAATATATAAATTATTTTTATAAATTATATATTTTCATTCCACCATATCTAGTCCTGTGAATTTTATATATAATGTGGGCTTTCACTTCTGTAATCTTTATTGCTCAAAGGGTGGCTTCCAGTATGATACTTCGGAGACACACATTGTATTCTATATCCCACTTTCAGATGTGGTTGATCAAAAGTGAGTGCTGCGTGTACTTTCAGGAGAGGACAATAGTAGGTAAAAGTGTCTGTTACGCTGAACGTGACTTGTTTGTAGGAACACTCTCTCTGCATTCAGGCGTCCTGAGAGTCTGATAGTCAGTTTCAAAGAATTTTGACTGAAGGATGCAGATCTGAAAATAAGTTCTCCCAGATTTCATGGGTGTGGAAGAGACACCTTCTTGATCTGCAGTGAAGGACAGGCTGCAGTGTGAAGGCAGTTTTCGTTACAGGCCATATAATCCTCATGAACTCGGTGTCCAACCTAACTCTTAAGACATTAGGCTTCCTCGGTTAAATTGCTTAAAGAACATATTTCATTTCTATCATCTGGTGGTATTTCCTATGCTCTTTGGTATTTGCTCACTAGGAACTGAAGACCTCTCACCCATTTAGAATGGGGTCCTGAATGGACTGTAGTAACTTCTGGTTATTAGATTCTGTATGTTTTACACTTTTGAATGCTTGTGTCTCAATCTCCTCAAACCCCCTTTCACCCATTTGACTGAGAAGACAGAGCAACGAATTAAGTCAGCAATCTCCTCATTTCCATTTCAGAAAGGAACTTGCTGGTTGTGCAATGTGTTTTGCAACTGCAACAGTACTGGCTACTCCTTTTGTAAATAGTTTTGTGGGGCCATAGTAAGTTATGGTAAAATAGGTTCTAGACGTTTTCCATGAGAGAGGGTGTTAGCTCCATGCTTGATCAAGAGTGAGACATTGCAGTTTGAGCTTACAGCTGTTACATTCTTGGTTAGGTGGCCTGATACACATTTCTAGCATCTAGGTGAGGAGTATGGTAAGGAAAAACAGGAGAATGCAAATGTTTAATCATTTCAGGAGGCTGGACTGACATCTTCCTTTATTCCACAGAAGCAGTTGGTGTGACCAGTCAGCGACCTGTGTTTTGTCCTTACCACAAAAAGGAGCAGTTGAAGTTGTATTGTGAAACCTGTGACAAGTTGACCTGCCGAGACTGTCAGTTACTAGAACACAAAGAACACAGGTACACAAAGAACACAAAGAACAAAGTGTATGTTTTTATGCAACTCACTTATAGGAAGATAGCTTGAAGTCGATTGTGGCTCTAGCTGTATGCAATACAGTTGGGTGAAGAAAGTGCAAAATAAAATTTTCTGCTCAGAAATTAAGCCCACAAATAAACAGATTGTATCCAAAAGCATGTGGCTGATGAGTGTGTGATAGTTTAGAATAAAACCTAATTCTTCTAGTTTTTAATCTGGTGACTTAAGCACAAGACCTTTACTGTAAAGTTATTTGGATAGAATTTGTTGCTATGCAGCTCTTCCAGGAGTCCTTAGAAAGCACAAGGGCTGTGTTATGCAACTGTATGCTTATGTGTAACTTCTCCATTTGTCCTTCAACAAGATGGTTATATAACGGGACATTACCAAACAATTTCAGAATAGAGGAAATGGGCATTTTTTTCTGTGAAGAGCCCTTCAAAAGGAAGAGTAAGCCTAAAGTTTGGCTATACTTTACTTTTATAACATTATTTATAACACTCAAATCTTTGGGTTGCTGTTCTTTGGTCATCTCTTCCTGGCCACAGAAGCTGAAAAGCAGGATTATATACAACTTCTGAGTACAAGGCAATAATCTTGCTGGCTAACGCATGCAGTAATGGTCTGCAACAGATGTACTCTTATGTTAAATATTAATATGCTCTCTATACCTGATGCAACTACTCAGAGAACTTGCTTGCCTGATCAGGTGAACATCAATAGGTGGAGAAGCGTTGGCCACTGTTGCTGCTTGGAATGGGCTAAACCTTGCTCTTGCAGAGCTGCAGTCTTACTCTTCATTTCTTCTTCTCTTAGGATTTATATCCCTTTCGGAATGTGCCACCTCTTTTTTCCCTCAAATTGTTGATGATTTCAGTTCCTTCATTTAAAATGTTGTTGACTTCTACTGACTCAGCGGTCTCTCTTCTTTGTTCTGTTTCTGCATCCTTATCTTGCATGAAGTAATAGCTTACATGCATTTTCACTTACAAAGTGATGGCTACACCATAACATTAATTTTTCTTTTGCTAAAATTGGGCTATGGTCATGCAGTATCCCTTCATATTGATGAAAATCATAATTCTTAAAACATAAACTACAGGAAATAAACTATAAATAAAATCAGAATTTGCTGACATATACTTCCATGATGACAGTTAAATTCTGGACTTGAGCAGCATCTTGCTTCAATTAAAGAAGTCTTTTGTAAGGCACTCAGGTTTTTAGCAAGTATATCACACCTTTTGCATGTGTAAATTTGCACTGTTATTGACTCCAGGTACCAGTTTATAGAAGAAGCTTTTCAGAACCAGAAGGTGATCATTGAGACACTAATCACCAAATTGATGGAGAAGACTAAGTACATAAAGTATACAGGGAAGCAGATCCAAAACAGGTGTGTATCAGATTTTGAGGTTAAAACCAACACAGAGGGCAACTGTATATACACTGTAATTTTTTCAAAATGTTTAGACTAGGGCATTTTGTGTCTCTCTCCTTTTATCTTTCCAGAAAGAGACATTCTAAAATCTCCAGTCTGTCATAGTGACTGTTTCTGGTTTAGTGTGCTTGGTTGTGTTAGGTAACTTCTGCTCAGCCTGTGGACTTAATGGGCAGCAACAGCTTGGGTGCAACAAAACAACTTATGCAATAAAGACTGTAGAAGGCAGTCTTATGTTCTACCCCACCATCAGCACACTTATTTTCTTAATGTAGATCCCTCTTAGAAAGTGAAAGGTTATGACTCATGTTTTCATAACGCTTGTGACACACATGTGAAGATTTATGTAATACTTTTATTCCTGGGGCTTTATTCACAAACCAGGGAGAAAAATAAATCTGTAAAATGCGTGCTGCACTAGGCCTGTGTAAGTGCTAGCAGGAAGATTCAACACAGTACAGGATGCTGAGTCCAACTTGAACTCTTCCTCTCTCTTTGCCCATCTTTGAGGATGGTGGGGATGGAAAAACAAAATAGCAGACACTCTTCTTTTGCTGCATCTAAGTGGTTATTCTCCTTGCATCTTAGCAGTAGTGGTTTTCACACTCTAAGGTTATCTTTGCTGTTATAAGTTTGAGCACTATTGTTGAAATAGCTAAATAAGAAAATCTATTTATTGGTTTTGTTTCTGGAGTGCCATTCTGCCTTAGATGGAAATTAGACTTAAACAGTTTTGATTGCCATGGACCATTCCAGAAATGTGCCAGACAATTAAAAATCAAGAATTTCAATTACAATGAGCATTTAATTTTTGTCAGTGGCAGATGTCAGTAATTTTACAGACTTAGGGCATTAGGATTTGCCACCAGTTAATTAATTTTATCATAGGTCACTGGTACTTGCTCTTTCTGTTTCTCCCAGTAATTTTCCTGACTGTGTCTGATGGTATATGTATTAATTGGTGCATATGACCAAGAAATATTGTAGTCTCAGCAACAGACTAGAGGGGTTTTTTTAAAATACTATTTGCAGGGTGGGCTTGTGAGCTAAAGAACATTATTTTCTATACTGTCTACTTACAGAATTCTTGAAGTGAATCAGAATCAAAAGCAGGTGGAACAGGATATTAAAGTTGCCATATTTACACTGATGGTAGAAATAAATAAAAAGGGAAAAGCTCTGCTGCATCAGTTGGAGGTAATTTCATTTCTATCATAAGAAACAAAAATGTCAGTCCTAATATTTTTTGTAGTGGATTCACATTAAAATAAAATCCATTTCTAGCATTAGACTCATGTACATGTCCTATTGCAATTCCATAGTAGAAAGATGTCCCACACAAGCCATTTGACCAAGTGGGGTTTTGGTGGAGGAGGGGAGGAGGGTTTGGGTTTTTTGGGGGGAGATTGTTGTTTTGTTTGTAATTATTATCTGTGTTCAGTGCTTTGTGAATCAGGGCTATCTCTGAGCCCAGTTTTTCTCCAAGAAAGTTTCTTTCTCTTTCTTTTGCAAGTCATAATTCTATACGTCATGCATGAAAAATCTTTCCATCAGAATTTTTTCATAAATTCGCGGGTCCAATAGCAAATCAGAGGAGAGAATTGTCTAGAATAGATACCTGGAAAAATATTACCTCCAATTGTGTTTTAAAAAGTCTGTGTGTATAGACACACACACACACACATATGAAAATGGGAATCTGCACAGGAAGTCCTGATATCTTGAATGAATGTATACTGACTTCTCTGATAGCTGCAGTCAGGGGACAGGGGTGCTTTTTAGAAGAGCTAAGTGAAACCACTTGATCATTGTGAATTACAAATATGAAAGCTAATGCCTGTTAACTGTAAATGGAACCCTTTGACTGGAACTGCTTTTCTACTTGCAGACTCTGGCAAAAGAGCATCGGATGAAACTTCTGCAGCAACAACAGGAAGTGGCGGGTCTCTCTAAACAGCTGGAACATGTCATGAATTTTTCCAAATGGGCAGTTTCCAGTGGGAGCAGCACAGCACTACTGTACAGCAAACGCTTGGTAAGGTTAGAAAGATAGCCCTCTCCATTTACTTAGAGACTATAGTTAAGGCAGATACACACGCACATACTTGTCACTAACACTAGGGAGTTAGACTTTTAAATGACTTTCTAGATTGGAATATTTGTATATGATTTTTCATGGTTTTCTCTCAAACATAAATGCAGAGTGTTTCTAATAATTTAGCTCGCTGGTCACAGCACTCTTCTGTTGCGCCACCATAGAATTATTGTACATCTGCAGAAGTAGGGACAACTCCTTTTCTCTGGAGTGAAAACCATGAGGCTATGAACCACTGGGGAAAATGTTGTGTCCCCTACATCATCACTGAGGTTCTTTTCAGTACTTGTTACAGCTTCTGAGTTCAGAGAAAGATGGTATTTATATATCAGAGTCTGATATCCAGCATTTCAATGTGAAAATTAATGTATTGTTTTGTGCTGTCAGACTCATCTTCCACTAAGTCTTCAAAAATTGATCAAAATGAAGCTGAGGCTTTTGCTTGTCCATGCAAACAGTTATGAAGCTAAGCATTTCAATGCTATAATAACACAATCTGAGTGCATGTGCTCTCGCTAAGCTGACGGCTCATGATGAACAGAAAACCTAAAAGACTTGAAGTAAAAAACAGATAAAAAGCTGACCATGATTCATCCAGAGGTTACTAGATTGTAATAGCCTGATGACAGAAATCTGTGGCAATGTTGAGGAAAGATGCTAGATCCCTTTTTTTCCAATTCCTATAACGGGATCACAAAGTTTTTTGTTTTATTTTCTTATTGCTTAGTTGAGAACCTACTGGGGTTTTTTTGTTTGTTTGCTTTTGGGGTTTTTGGTGGTGTGGGTTTTTTTAATCCGTTAAAATGCTGCAGGTTATAGCAGATAGTGGAATATTACTTGGGTTTAAGTAGTTAAATTCATTTGGCCTGCCTTATACTGCCTCAGCCAGTCATATTTTTTAATTGAACAGAGAAAAAGGGCATCAAACTGAGTCATGTTGTTTATAATTGCTTAGTGTTGCCACAAAGACTTCTGCTATGTGAGTAAGAAAACAAGTTATGTAGCAGGCGTCTTAATCTTACAAACATTACGCAGTTGAAGAAAAAGACCTTCTAGCCCATAAAGCCTCAGCAAATGAGAAATATTTTTCAAAAGAACAGATCAGCTTTAGGCTCCTGATTTTCTTGCTGAAAGTTGGTGTTATCTGGGAGTAGAGTAGCTACCCTGTCTGCGGACATCTGGAAAATCTGTTCCTGAGCAGTGATGCACAGAGGAGCATGTGAGACTTCTGGTCCAGCATATCCAACCATTTGAAACTAGGAGGAAGGAACGCCTAGCAGACTTAAGTGCACAATTACAGCTGGGAGGCAATGTCTATACTTCAGGGAAATAACACACTAAACAGTTCGCAGGAAGACAGGTTTCCCAGCCTAGTCCTCTAGCATGAACAAAACAGTAGTAGCTACACTATTACTGGCAGGAGGTAACTAGTCTAGTCATGAATTTATCTACAATATATATTTGTGCACGATAGGAGGAATATATGGAGCTACTAGTATTGGTGACAGAACAAAAGACTAAAATTTCTATAATGTAGTATACTTGATTCAGGTAGTGTACACAGAAGTCCTAGGAAATCTATATTCAAAATAGTAGTGCATTTCATATTTTCCATTGCCATTAAAAAAAACCCTTAAGTCTTGCCAAATGTTTTTTGTATCTGGTCTAAAACTGACCTGCCTAAAATTGCAAGAAAAATCTTGTAAACTGGAAGCTCTTACAAAATTCCTATGTAAAAGATAACTAATATCATTTTAAATGGGTAAGATGATTTTGTCAAGTATGTCTCTTGAACTTTTCCAGGAAATAATCTATTATTCAAGAAAAATAAGTGTTGAACTCTTAAGTTTTTTCTATATCTGCAGTGTGTTGTTCTAAAATTATTGCAAGTGTTAGATATTACTAGTGAAACAACTGCAAGAAAATACTTTCTTTCTAGGAACTAGATAAATACTGAGCATTTGATAGAGTATTCTGCTTGTGTAATGATAGTCAAGTCCTTTGGAACCAAAGGGTTGGAAGAGTCGGAAAATATCTGTGAATCTGAGAGTTTTCAAAAACAAAATTTATAAAATCTGTTCTTTGGCTCTCTGAAGAAAACTTAAATTTATTACAAAGGAAAATTCCATGTTATGATACTTGTTGCCAAAAGGATGGGATACTTTTCTTTGAAAGAAAAATGAATGGGCTATCATAGGTTTTGGAGAAAAAAAACCCTACTATGGTTATGTGAGTCTGTACTTCACTTGCAAGTAGTTCCAAGTCATTGAATGTAATGACCAAGTTTGAGGAAAGATACGTATTTCTACAGGGGAGAAGAATTAATTTTCTTTACGTTGTAGTTGATTGCTTTTGAAAATTACTTTAGGATTAAGGGAAAGATGTTAAGAATACCTCTTCCATTTCTACCGTGGACAAATTTATCTATCTTTCACCTCAATTCTCTAGGGGCGTGTTCAGGGGTTTTTTGTTGTTGTTTTTTTGGGAGGGGGTTTTGTTTTGCTTTGGCTTGTTTTTTTAAGACTTTTTATGCTGTTCGGATACATGGCTCTGGCCCCAGTGAATAACGTCTTGTTTTGTTCCTGTTGTAGATTACATATCGACTACGGTATCTTCTCCGAGCAAGGTGTGATGCTTCACCAGTGACTAACAATACCATCCAGTTTCACTGTGATCCTAGCTTCTGGGCTCAAAATATTTTCAATCTAGGTATGATAAAGTTTTGTTAGCCCTTTGCCGTCTTGATCCTATTTTGAAAGCAGCTTTCTTTTTGTGAAGATAAATAGCCTATACACTATTCATTTTTTGGTTTACTTTGTTAACTTTGTTTCCTTACATGTAGAAGACATTTAGAGTGCATTGTATAGGAAAAAGTATTTTTTATGAATACTTACGATAAAGTATTAACAAACTTACCTGGCTTGAATGGTATGTGTGATGGTGAAAGTAGCAGCTTTGAGTCTCCTGGGCAATACAGGTGCCTTTTGGCTTCTGAAACAAGGAACACAATCTATAACTGTACTTTGCATCCTAAGAAAGGATTCCAGAAGTCAGCCTTATTCTGCATCTTCCAGCCCTGTCTTCTCCTTCAATCCCATCTTGCCAAGCTGAAACCCATAGCAGCAGCATAACATGTTCAAGAACCCCCGTTTGCTCCCTTGTCATGCTGAACAGTAAGCCTTGGAGAACTGAGATGAAGGGAATGGAAGAATGCCAAAGAAAAACAGGAGAACAGAGAAGAGAACACCACTTTTTGAGAGTTGTCTGGATTTTGGATTGTCTTTCCTGAAGTTGTGGGGTGGAATTCAGGAGAAAATGTTTTTAGCAGAGTTGCAAATGTACTTCATCTTCATTATCCTAATAGATTTTTACCTGGTCTCCAAACTGGTCTTTACAAATTTTCTTACAGCTATAAGTTGCTAGGGTTTTATGATACTGGTGAATCCCAGAACCTGGAAGCTTTGCAGGTAGCCTGCTTGTGTGATTGCCTGAAAGCCTGAGTTTAATGGAGATAAGCATCCTAGGAACTCAGCAGCTTAGGAGCAGGAATTGAAGCTTAGAGGTCTTTTTAGGATGTTGACTGCCGTCATGCTTCATTTCTCTCTCCAGTGTTAGCTTGATGGGCATTTTGGGTTTTTTGTCATGTGCAGAATGCTTTGTGAGACACCTGTGGGACCTTTTCTGCCTTTCATCAGAAAGTGCAGTCTGCTGTACTGATATACAGAGAGGTGCAAATGTACGTTTCTCTACAAAGGTAGAGAAGGAAAGTGCTTTTAAGGCAAACAAGCTCCTTTCCCCACACACCAGGACATTGGATGGTAGCAGGGAAATTCTCCAACTTCCTTTTTTGTAAACATTTTTTTTGGGAAAGGAATCAAAACTGAACCTCTTGTTTCCAGAAACAAACTGTCAAGATGTATGGTGATAACTGTGAACTGTGAACTGCTGCTAAACTGAGAAGATGCTTGTCAAGAGGGGGCTCTTTTTGTGTTTGGTTTTGGGGCTGCTTTTTTTTTTTGCCTTTCTTTTTTTTTCAATTTTTTAAATCTGTTTATTTAATGAGGTGTTGACGTATGTTCCCTTAAATTCTGAGAAGTGCTACAACAGAAATGGCACCTGTGTAGATCACAACAGGAATTCTTGTAACAGTTTATCTCTTTAAGTGATAGATAAAACCAGATCATATTTATCTGTCTAGTTTCAGAAATCACAACCTTTAGGCTGTTACATTTATGATCAGACGTGTTCAATTTCTGTAGATACACCAGATTTAAGAACCACTAAAGGAAAAATGAAGTCTGAATAAAGAAAGAATTTACTTTGGGAGTTGCTTGAATTCTAGTCAGGTTGCTTGTTGCTGATAGTGTGATAACATTTGTACACTAATAGGATAGCTATCATGGATTTCAGAATGTATTTAAGAAAATAAAATACATTTAAAGTGTTTGAATTCCACAAATTGTAACCCATGATTTTCTAGAATAATGGAAGGGACTCATTCTCTGTAGTACCTTTGGGTAAGTGGCTTTATACCACAGATGTTAAGTCTGGAAAGACTTGAAAATGTAATTAGACTTGGAGAGAACGGAATAGAAGTGGGTTATCAGTTTGACAGTTAATTGTAGTACAGTCAATACCATTTGTTGTCAAGGTAATTCCTTTTCTACAGAAAGAAAATAAAACAGATCTATTCTGACTGTAGTGAAATATTTCGTACAGCCATATATGGGAAACAATATTCCTTTGTGTTTTTCTCTGCTCACTTTATAGGAAACATTGACTAGACCTATTACAGGCTTAATAAAGGGTATTAGGCAATAGGTTGGTAGGTTTTTTCCATTTTGCTTAGCATATTTAATATTTTTGTTAATGGCTGATGTGGTAGAATCATAATTGAAATGTTTACAACACCAAAATTACAAAGTGTCAACATGAAAATAGTATTGTTGATGACAGCTTTCTGCCCTTCTCTGCACTACAGTATGTTGGTTGGCCTAGACTCCCTCTGTGCCTATGTCTAGATATGGGACTAGAGCTCTTGGGATGAAAAAGAGGAATATAAAATGCAAGAAGTTTCCTCATCCGTCAGATAATCTACCCCAAAATGAGCCAGGTCAGACTGCACAGGAGCCACAGAGACTGGTGGATGGATATGAGGAGAGAAGTGGCAGAGGGTGATTTCAAGTTCTGCTGTAGCAGGGATTGTCAAACTGTCATGTGGTGTACCCACGTCATGAGGTGAACTATCCTGGGAACTAGCCCTAAGTCTCTGGGAGAAGGGAGTATGAGGTGTCTATCTCACACTTGTGTTAAAAAGCTCTTGCACAACCTCCCACAGATCATTGGAAGTTTTTAACTCTGTCTTGGACCATAACTTTCTCTACTTGACTCTCTTTTAACAAAAAAAAAAAAAAAAAGGTGTTTTTGTCTTCTCCTGTATAAAGAGTGTGCTATTCCCTTGAATCAAATCAAGCTCTGTTCTAGTTGGAATTCATCTAGACTAATCACACTATGTGTCTCCAGATACAATCTCTCACCCAGCATTAATGTCTAAAAGTCACCTGTCTTGTCAAATTTCCTTCCGAGTCAGTGGAGAGAGGTAAAACATCTCCTGGAGATGTCCATCACATCCTAGAATTGGTGGTGTGTAGCAACTGAGTATCATCTGAGTATTCCATGATATTGACTCAGAGGCCAGAGAGGATCACAATACCTTTAAGTTTCATGATATAGTTCATGATCTTTTTATCAGATGATTGGATCAGGATACTCTTTCCCATTGAAACTTTGCTCCTGTGCTCTCCTGGAAAGGCCAGGACATCTTCCTAGGAGAACCCACCTTAGAGAGGACACTGTAGCATAAGACAATTTGCTGTAAAATGCAACCATTTTTTTCCACAGGGAAATAAACAAAATAAATGGAGTCCTCTATCTCATGTTTATCCATTCTTTACGTTACAATAATGAATGATGACTGCATGATATAAAAGGATCCAATTGTGAAAAATAGCATTTCTGCTAACTGCAGTATTTTGTGATAGTAATTTTATTTGTTTTGTTTAAACCAGGTTCTTTGGTAATTGAAGATAAAGAAACCCCACCACATATGCCCAAGAGCCCTGTGATGGAAACAAACTTACAGCCACCAGGCAGCTTACCTTCAAACCAGCTGTCTAAGTTCCCAACACAGATAAGCTTAGCTCAGCTCCGACTCCAGCACATGCAGCAACAGGTCATGGCTCAGAGACAGCAAGCTCAACGCAGAGCAGGTCCAGTAGGTTTACCAAATCCAAGAATGCCAGGAGCCATGCAGCAACCTCCTGCTTCTCATCACGTAAGTTATGACTATTTCCAGAGAAGACTCTCTTTTTTTCCATGGCACTGAAGGAGAAAGTAAAGAAAGTTAAGATAAAAGAAAGAAATTAAGTCTAGATACATAACTTCAGATAACTTCATCTTTAGCACATGGCTATGTAAATGGGTTAGGGAATATTTTCGTTACTTAGAATTGAATGGGCATTTTACACTTCTGTTGCAGAATGTGTGGTAGCATTCAGCCTATTTTTATTCATTAAAAAAAAAAATAAAATCATATGGTGTCCAGCTATATATAGTGCAGAGCTATATATTTTGTATCTTTTTCAAATGATTAAAAAGTGAATCTGTCAATTTTTTTCCAAGGCTTTTTTGCATAAAACTCTTTGATTCTCCCATATAAATGTCAAAGTTGGACATACTCTCAATGACTCTTGTGATGTATCTGCATTTATTATATCAGAATAATTTAAAATCATCTACTAGGTTTTGTTTTTAACAAAAAAAAAAATCAATGTGTTGCATGCTCATTCAGATAAATTGTGTGCTACTACTTGTTTGCATCGAATTTGTTAAGAGTTTCAGAAGTTTTAAAGGGCCACTTGATATCTGTTCAATGTTCCAGAAATTTTTACCAGCTAACTTACAGAATTGTTTGTTTTCATGCAGGCACCTCCGCGCTTGATTCATTTTCAGAATCATAGCCCCAAGTCCAATGCTTCAGCAGTTCCTGCACAACAGATGAGATTTCCCCAAAATCAGAACCTGCCAAGGCAAGCAATAAAGCCCAACCCATTGCAAATGGCATTCTTGGCACAACAAGCTATAAAACAGGTAAGAGTTTCTTTCCCTTTTCACTTGCCATGTGAAACATCAAACTTGCCATGTGAAACATAAAACATCAAAAGTGCTTTATATCTTTTATATTATGTTTCTAGAGTGCTTTTCAATTAGAACAGAAACTGCATTTTTCTCTATGACAAGATACCCACGGTTTTGTCAATGAGATAACTGTCAAGTTTCTTTCTTTTTGACAGTTCCAAGCTGTTGAAGCATTACAGAAGTGAGCCATTGTGTGTGCTGTGTAGGTGTTCCATTCTCTTGTTTGCTATTACTGTGATTTCTGACCACTTACACAAACCGTAACGTGGCCATGGTCAGCACACTACAATCGGTGAATAGACAAAATATTAAAAATAGAAAATCCCACTATTCAGCTTGAGGTTAGTGACTTCACTAGGAACCAGGTAAAAGCCTGACTTAAAAGCTAAAGCTGCCACCATTTTCCAGAGTATGCCAAATCTGAACTTTGACAGATGAGGAGAGAAAAAGAAAGTGCACAATTCAGAAAGTGCTGAATAAGACTGATCAATACCTAGTTAATTAGCAGTTGAACTGGGGCAGAAGCAAACACTTCAGATATTTTCTAGATGCTCAGGAAGGCAAATAATTTTTTATTAAGAAGCATGTTAACACATGAGTAGTTGTGTATGTGGAAGGAAGGAGAAAATCATGTCACTAGAGGTAGGCAGGGAAAAATCAAATTACTCTGATCTGTGACCTCAGAAGTGGAGTAATACCATTCATATTTGCAATGCTTATGATGTCAGAGAACTAATTCCAACTAACCTGAAGAAAGCTGTACCAATATCTAAGAGAACCCGTAGTAACAAAAACTATGTCACTTCTATTCTGTTTCTCTGAAAAGACGATTGGCCCATCTGCAAGCCTTTCTTTCAGGTATTTTGATTATCTAGAAATGGCTTTCTGAAACTAGAAACCAGTAAATAGAATGACTGACTAAAAGGAATTGAGCAGAGTCAAATTTTGCCTACAGTTACCATGAAATTCCATTAAAGTCATTGAAAACTGCATATATCTGAACGAGAAAGAAATTTAGTCTGACTTGACCGTGCATTTCATGTCATGGTGTTAAACGTATATGTGGGTGGAGATCCAATCAGCATTTCAAATTCTTAATCACTTTAAGTTATTAAGGGAAGCACAACATCAAATAGTTGATGGCGTCCAAGTGACGCTATAGCTATTTACTTAATAAAGCACTGGAGCAGTTGTGCATTCAGCCTATTATCTGTGATGCTTTTTTTTCACTAAAACTGTTATATTTCTCCCACAACACTGTCAATGCAGTGTGAAATATTAATAGATACTTAACATTAAGATACAGCTTTGCATTTAAGAACTCACATTCATTTCTTCTATTGATAGTTTTCAACTACTTGTCATCTTCCCTCATCTTGTAAGATTGGTTCTTGAAATTAGGTAGCTTCAGAGTAAATCAGGTTTTTATGTTTGAATTCAGCTTACTGGACTAAGCTGCTTGTTTAACTGCTGAGTTAGAACCAGTGTATCCAGTAGATGTGATCTCTTGGAAAATAATGCTGAATTGTGATTATCGTTTTTCCTTTTTAGTGGCAGATCGGTAGTGGACAAACTTCAACTGCCCTTTCAACTGCCAGCAGCACATCGTCTACTCCCTCCAGCCCTACAGTCACTAGTGCTGTAGGATGTGATGGGAAGACATATGGTCCCCCCGTGATAGATTTGAATTCTCCAGTGGGTAGCTCCTACAATCTGCCATCTCTTCCTGACGTAAGTGTAACATAAGAGCAATGTTTTAGGGACTCTATTTTGAAGTAAGTCTTAATGTTTGTGAAAAGTAGAAACCTTTTAGACTGAAATTCTTCCTCTGTTTGTCAAAATGAGACAGTTGCAGAAAACAACAATGCAGAATTGCCTATGTGTTGCTGGCAATGTTCATAACTGTTCTGGGAGACAGCTGTTAGGACAACTAAGAAAAATAATGTTGTGGGTTGTAATTGTAATTGGACTTGTTTATTTGGATGCTGCATATTCCCCCCCCCGCCCCCCCAGTGTTACTAACAAAAAATGGGTTAGCTTACCTTAGCTTTCATTTACCAGTGTCCATAGATAGCACTGCTTTGCTGATGGTATTTCTGGTAAATTTTTAACATTTTTAAAAAAATATTTTTAACTCATTGAAAGGGCTATCTTAGGTAGGTATTAATTGTTGCTATACTGAATATATTCCTTATATCTTTTCCTTTTGGTACTTCTTTTATTCATATATCCTCTAACATGCCTGTGAGCAGGTGATAGAAGGAGCTTTATAAGATCATCTTTTCTTAAGCTTCTAAACGTTTCTTTCATAGTTTCTTCTGATAGGTACGTGTTTGTCAGAGGGCCACATTAGAGCTATTGAGTTTTAGTCAGATGACTTTATTCTTTCAAATAACTGCTGAGGCTATTTTTGAGGCCAAAGACTTGTAGATATCTGAAATGTCATGGTTTTCTAGTCATAACTTGCTATTACTCCGTTTCTCCCACCTGTCTGTTGTTCTCACCAATAAACTCTCAGATAAAAGTGTTATTTTAAATAGAGTACACAGAGTACAGAATCACAGTATCTGTCAGGCTTGAAAGGTGAACTACACAACACGATAATAAAACTACTGAGTCTGAGAGACTTTTTAGCATACTGATTTTTGTGCACAGTATTATTATGAACTCTTCTACTTGTATATGGTTAAGTTTATGCTATTAAGATACATGACCCATGTAATATGCTGACTTAGCAGAGGCTTCTGCGTCCACTTCGATTAAGTCTAGCTTATAAATAGAAATTTCAGTGGTCAATGTAGTTGATACAAGTGGATTTGTGAAGAGTTTGGATGATTGAGAAAACTGATACCAAGGTGACCTATTTTCTTATCAAATGTGATCTTAAGTATAGCAGAAAAACTAACATTTCAAAAGGTCATTTCTCTATCAAACCAGAATGTGTAATTTTTACAGAAAGTCAGAATGGTAAATTGGGAGCCCTTAAAACAGAGTTCAGTTGTCTGGCCTGGGCTGTGGGTGGAAAGAACAAGTGTTGGTTTGCTGTTTGCGTTTTGAGTCAATATGCACGGCTGTCATGGTTTTGCCCCAGCCAGCAGCTAAGCATCAGGCAGCCGCTCACTCATTCCCTCTCAGTGGAATTGGGTAGAGAATCAGAAGAGTGAAAGTGAGAAAACTCATGGGTTGAGATAAAGACAGTTTAATAGGTAAACTAAAAGCCACACACACAAGCAAAGCAAAACAAGGAATTTATTCACCCCTTTCCATCAGCAGGCAGGGGTTCAGCCATCCCCAGGAAAGCAGGGCTCCGTCACACATAACAGTTACTTGGGAAGGCAAACGCTATCGCTCTAAATGTCCCCCCCTTTCCTTCTCCTTCCCCCAGCTTTGTATGCTGAGCATGATGTCATATGGTATGGAATATGCCTTTGGTCAGTTGGGGTCAGCTGTCCCAGCCGTGTCCCCTCCCAACTTCTTGTGCACCCCCAGCCTACTCACTGGTGGGGTGGCATGCGAGTCCTTGACTCTGTGTAAGCACTGCTTAGTAATAACCAAAGCATCTCTGTATTATCAACACTGTTTTCAGCACAAATCCAAAACAGCCCCATACCAGCTACTATGAAGAAAATTAACTTGATCCCAGCCAAAACCAGCTCAATGGCTCCCACCTAGAAGGTATGTGGGACAGATGGAATTGAGTGTCCCTTGAGGTTCTTCCAGTACTGCTAAACACTAGTGAATTAATGTAGATTTCAGATATCTACAAGTTCGTGTTATCTTTTTTTAGAGGATATAACAGCATTTCAAAAGGTGTGGAGATAAAAATTCATCTCATACTTCAACGTGTGAAAGCTACCTGTCTGATGTAAGCCTTCTTTGTAGCTGATGGAGAAAAATTGGCACTTATAGTATCATCTGATCTTAAAATGAAGCACTGTCTGGATTTGGCAATTTCTGTTCTTTTTAGAGAAAGCAAGATGACCTGTTTTAAAGTAACCACCTCACTTTTTGGATGGCTGAAGTTAGGTGAAGTGCATTTTGATCTTCACCTTCAAAATAACAGTATGGCAGTATATGCATGTGTCACACATGCACACACTGTAACTGCTTCCCCTCTCTTCCCCACCTTTAGATTGATTGTTCAGGAAACATCACACTGGATAATGTTGTAAGGAAGGATGGCACTACGGAGCAGAATCAGCCAAAACCCCCTACAAACAGAACTGTGCAGTCACCAAATTCATCGGTGCCATCACCATCACCAGGCCTTTCAGGTAATTGGAATGTGGTGCAATTTTCTGTTTTAAGTGGTGTAATGGAAAAATCTAAGCTGACAATGATAACACTGATACTAGAATTAGGTACTTCTATTTTATATCAAAGATGAGAAATATGAAAATGAAGGCAAAGATGTAGAAACCCTAGTAGGAGGTAAAGTTGAGACAATATTTTATCATTGTACAAAATGATTGTTGAACAAAAGTAAGTGTTGAGATCTTAAAAACAGGGAGGGAAAAACATAGCAGATGTTAGTAAATTGGATAGAAATCCATAGAAAAGTGGCGCTCTTAGAGGTACATCAAATTAAAACCTAAAGCTGTGGTGGGAGACAAGTATTTGAAAAAGCAAGATACAATGTAACAGGAGACAGTGGTTACAAATGGTGAGTTGGGAAGTTCAATCTGGATATTAGAAATCTTTTCCACTGGAAGGGTAGTGCAGCACTGACACAGGCTGACCAGAGAAGTTATTGTTATGGATAGCTAAATGTGGTGGACTTGGAGGACCCAGGGGATTCCTGTCACCATGCCTGGTGGCAATCAGCCACTGCTTCTTACTCCCATTTCCTGATCTGACCTGTAGTGAGTCTATGTGAGCGTGAATTCCCAATAAGCACTGGTGCAATGGTCATGCACTCGTGTGGCATTTACGCACTTGGGCAGATCAGCTGAGATGCGTCGATAATGCATTCGCAGACAGCACGGACAGCCCACTCTGGTTTCTCAGGACCAATGCTCAACAAAAATGTGCTTCACAAGTCTTTTGGCTATCTGGTCCCCAGACCTTTGGTCTCGTTCATATCTGGCCCCCAGACCTCTTCCTACTCGCCAGCTTAAAGTTTCCTAGAAGATCTCCTCGGAGATCCGCTAGAATTTAATAAGGTGTTGTGGTTTAACTCCAGCTGGCAACTAAGCACCATGCAGCCACTTGCTCACTGCCCCCATGGTGGGATGGAGGAGAGAATGGGAAAGGTAAAAGAGAAAACTCGTGGGCTGAGATAAAGACAGTTTAATAAGTAAAGCAAAAGCCACGCACACAAACAAAGCAAAACAAGGAATTAATATACCACTTTGCATCGGGGTAGTGTGAGAAGCAGAAAAGCCCTTGACTCTGTGTAAGTAGTGGTCAGCAGTAACAAAAACATCTCTGTATTATCAACACGGTTTCCAGCACAAATCCAAAACATAGCCCCCTACTAGTTACTATGGAAAAATTAACTCTATTCCCAGTCAAAACCAGTACATTCTCCACTCCTTATTCCATACCATTTATGTCATGCTCAGGTCCTACACTATCCAATACATCCTTATTAACCACCACTCCCGTTTTCATCCTTTGATATAATACACAGATATCATTCCCTTGGTCTATGGACCAGTCTTGTAAAGTGTCCATAAAATGCCCACAAAATGTCTGTTGAGTTCATTTAGCCCATGACTTTGGGCTCCATCTGTTATGGTGGTCATTCAGAACAGGAGAGGTAGTCTGTTGCGTGGAGTTTCTGGGCACCAAAGCCAGCTCAGGTCAGGTCAACTGCTGCATTCGCACTGCTTCTTGTAAGGCTTGTCCTCCATTGGTTCAGGTGATTCCTGCTACAGTAATTCCCATAACATGCATCTCAAATCATGGGTTAACGGTATTTCCATTACAATCTCCACCCCTGATCCCTTTGGGACACGTTATAGGGTTTAACGTTGCAATGAGCTCCTCCCCTGCTATGGCTTGACGTTATCTGCAGACTGCAGTCCCTTAGAGGTGTACCTGCTCCAAGTGGAGCCTTATCTATGAGCCACAGTCTCTCCAGGGGTATACTTGCTGCAGCATACACTTATCCACAGCCACAGTTGCTTTGAGGTGTGTCTGCTCCAGCGTGGCCTTACTCAGAGCCACAGTCCCTTCAGGAATGAACCTGCTCCAACATGGCCTTACCCATGGTTGCAGTCCCTCCAGGGCAGTACCTGCTCTGTCATGGGCTTATCCATGGCCAGTGCTTTGAGGTGCTCCAGCATCACCTCATGCACGGCCACAGATGCTTCGAGGTGTACCTTCTCCAGTGTGGACTTACCCTTGGGCCACGTTCCCTTCAGAACTATACCTGTTGCAGGATGGACATAACCACAGCCACAGGTGCTTCGAGATGTACCTGCTTTGGTGTGGATTCATCCACAGGTCACAGTCTCTTCGACTTGAGTGCACACAGGAGTTCCAGCCTGTCCAGTACAGGAGCGATGCCCTGGCCATCTGCTAGCCCAGGCGCATTGTCATTGCTGTTATCAAAATGTTCGTAGGCACAGCACAGCACAATGAGCAGCAAAAGCAAAAAGCAGATGCTAACGAGCACTGGACTCTACTATACAGTAAGGCAAGCAAACCCCATGGCAAGCACAGGAGCCTGCCAGTTACTACCTAAACAGCAATAACAGCTATAAATTTGATCTAGCACATTCCAATCAAATCTGTCATTATCTCAAACCCTTTGAGCCCTACATTTTGTGCCAAAAAGGGCTGTTGTGGTTTAACCCCAGCTGGCAACTAAGCACCACACAGCTGTTCACTCACTACCCCCCAGCAGGATGGGAGAGAGAATTGGGAAGGTAAAAGTGAGAAAACTCGTGGCTTGAGATAAAGACAGTTTAATAGGTAAAGCAAAAGCCGCGCACACAAGTAAAGCAAGACGAGGAATTCATTCACCACTTCCCATTGGCCGGCAGGTGTTCGGCCATCTCCGGGAAAGTAGGGCTCCGTTACACATAATGGTTACTTTGGAAGACAAACGCCATCACTCTGAACACTGCTGCCTCCTTCCTCCTTCTGCCCCCAGCTTTATATGCTGAGCATGACATCATATGGTATGGAATATCCCTTTGGTCACTTGGGGTCAGCTGTCCCTTGCACACAACTTCTTGTGCACCCCCAGCCTGCTCACTGGTGGGGTGGTGTGAGAAGCAGAAATGGCCTTGGCTCTGTGTAAGCACTGCTCAGTAATAACAAAAACATCTCTGAATTATCTACACTGTTTTCAGCACAAGTGCAAAACATAGCCTCATGCTAGCTACTATGGAAAAAATTAACTCCACCCCACTCAAAACCAGCACATAAGGTAAGACAAAACAAACTGCAGTGATCAAGTGGAGCTGTCAGCCAGGCAAAAAGGTACTGACCCATCAGCATGCTTACATGCAATGGGCCCCTTTTTAGTTCTTCTTTCTATTATCCCATGCTTCTTACCCTCTCATGAATTTGTATTAAATGAGATGTGGGTTAAATAAATGACAGTGTAGGAGAATTTTCCCCCAAAACCTGTGTGCTTCTCTGAGCTGCATCTCAGACTCGGCGCAGACTTGTGTTTTTTTCTAATCTGATTCTTCTGTCCTAGGAGGAGTCAGTGTGACAAACATACAGCCTCCAATTCGTTCACCCAGTGCCTCCAGTGTTGGGAGCAGGGAGAGGTAAGGAAAGAGTAGGAAAGAAGAAAATGTAACTTCCAACTCCATAGAACATGCCTCAGTCTCTTCTCACATTAATACATATAGAAGTTAATTTGCCTCACCTTCTCTGTTAACAGGCCAGGCCTGATAGTTATTACTGCACTCTTTACATTCTAAAAGTAGTAATTTAGTTTGAAATGTATTAATAGCACATCTAAAAATGTATTAACTCTGTAAATGATGGCAAGGTTGGCAGTATTAGAAGAATGCCAATTCTAAATTAGGTTTTAAATTCAGAAAAATCAGCTAAAGGAAAAAGTTGCATATTAAAAGTCCTCGTGAAACTATAAATGAGTTTAGATGTAAGGAACTGATGTTACAAAGAGGATTGTTGAGAATTTTTTCTGCCATAATACAGTTAGTTAAGTGAGCGCTAGATATCTACTGAGAGTCTACACAAATGTTTTTATTCTTTAGTGATGGAATATTAATGAACAAATAGATTTACACAATGTTGTTTGAAGAGTGCAGACCCATTAATGTGTTCCAGTAAATTAGAGCATACATCTGACATGAGATTAATTTTTCATGCAGAGAAAAATCGGATGACATTCATCCTACTTGAATTGGAAATGCAGATGCTTTTTAATATAGAATACTTTTCTCTTCCATTTGCGTGGTAAATTCTGTGAAGGATGCTTGTGAAATGTTTAAATGTTTGAAGAGTCTTTTACTTGTGTTTAAAAAATGTGATTCTAGCTGCTGCTGCTTGATTTAATTTTGTTAGAATTAAAATTCCTCATTATTATTAAAAACAATAATAAGCTGGTAATGCTTGAGTTTGTCCATTCTCATCCTATTATAACTATAAACAAATGAAAAAAGACAGATCTAGTTCTAAAAGTAGGGACCAGTTTTGGTAAAGCTCCTAGGCTGTAAGAAACTCTTCACAGATAATGTAAATGTGTGTTTTATCTGGCTTATTCACTTGTGTGGTTTAGAATGATCAGTTCAGCTCTGGAGAAACACTGGCCTTCCCCAAAATACAGCTGCATCTCCTCCAAAGTGGGTTAACGTGCCGTGGGAGTTCTTTTTTGTGTATGACCTAAAAGAAACAGATTATTTGCAAATCTTGCACTAATGGGAAGTAAAACCATGAGTAATTCTCTAGTTCTGGAACTACGCCATTAAAATTTTCCCTTTTTGTAATGCCTTTTCAATATACATGAAATTAAATAAACTTGGATGTTGTATTCTATAGAAGTAATACTGTAGTCCTTGGGATTCAAAGAAGCAAAATGGATTAGCATCTTGAGGTCTCAGAAAGCATCAGTGTATAAAAAGCATCCAGTTCTGACTCTTAATTTCCTTTTTTTCCTACCTTTTTGTGTCATTTACAGTTCTGGCTCCTCCAGCAGGCCACCAGGAGCTGATTCAACACACAAAGTCCCGGTTGTTATGTTGGAGCCGATCAGAATTAAACAGGAGTCAAGTGCACCAAATGAGAACTTTGATTTCCCAATTGTTATAGTGAAGCAAGAAACGGATGAGGAATCCCGGCCTCGGAATGTAATATTAACAGTTATAAAGATCTCCTTTCTCTTTACTGGAGGGTATTGTGCATTTATGGGGAATGAAATAATTTACTAATGTTCTGTTGGGGACTTTTTCAGGGGAAAACTAAAATGCTAAATAAAAGGAAGAGGTGATACTCAAAATCAGACTAGCTCTGCTGCCAATTCAATTAATTAACTGGTGCTATCAGACTGCTTTTATCCATTGAAAACCTGGGAAGGCAGGAAATAGCTTGCAAACATCAAATTTTCATGTGGCGCTAGGAAGTGTTTCTAATCACAGTGCACTAATATACACAAATAAGGTTGCTAGGCTTTTGGGGCATCAGAAATTAGGTTTTTATTAGTGGAGCAGTAAATAGCTTTTCAGGCTAATTTCTTGTATCTAGTTGCCTGACACTATAAGATGATAGTAATTTTTGCATGCACGTTGCAAGGTGTGTGTCTGCTTGCATATGAATTTGTTATTCTGGTCAGTTTATTTGTTGTTAGAGTCATGTAAATTCACAAAAATATTATAATCTGGCTTCCTTTGTTTCTTCTTACAGGCCACCTTTTCAAGAAGCATACTTACTTCATTGCTGTTAGATAGCAATCATAATTCCACTTCTGATGAAGCTGTCTTAAGAACAGATGCACCGGACAGCACAGACGATCAGCCGGGGATGCTGCAGGAGAACGCATCCGGTGGGAAGACAGGATGGATAGGCCCATCCCACATCGGGGAGGGCAGAAAAGAGGATGATCCCAATGAAGATTGGTGTGCTGTATGTCAAAATGGAGGGGAGCTCCTTTGCTGTGAGAAGTGTCCCAAAGTATTCCATCTTTCTTGTCATGTCCCTACATTGGTGAGCTTTCCAAGGTAATTATCACCGCTTCAATTCCGTCTAAACTTGCATTGACTTAAGCTTTGTATTGTGAAACCCAGTACAAGAAGTTTCAGCCTCGAAGGAAGCAGTGTCATCTTTGAAGTCTTGAATCCAGAGGTTTTATTAATTGGCGAACATTTGAATTTGTGTTGAACCTCCAGTTTAACTTTACAGATTTGCAGCCACAATAATAGAACTCTTCACTTATTTGACAATTAAGCAAGATCACTTATATCCAGGGCATCTGTTATTAAAATTGGGCCACAGATTACCAGTCTGTCATAAAATGTTTTAGGGATGACATAAAAGATTTACACTTCTTTAATAATAATAAAAAAAACTTAATCTAAGCTAATATAGTGTTAAATATATTATTTACTATAGTGCTAAACATGGCTACACTCCAAGCATGGGATGTAGTGATTGACATCTTTGTTACATCTTGTTCAACACTGAAACAAGCAATAGGCTTTCTTGATTGACTGTTACAAAACAACTCCTCAATTTCTTGAGTTTAAAAATACAGTCTTAAGTAGGTTGTTGTCATAAGCATTACTGGCATTTGCTTCTGGAATTAGTGTCTTTGATTAAAATAAATGGCACTTTGCAATGTTCCAGTTTGGAAATGCTATGCAATAAGCTTATTAGTATTAAAGGATAAAAACATCTGTCATAACACGTTCATTGTTTAATGCTTTTATAAATATTAGGTTTTCTTACTAAATATCAGCATAGTTTGCTGGTGTAAAACATTTGGATAGCAACTTAGTTTAGTACATTGATCATCTCTGTGCTACTCTGCTTGCAGAAGTATGCTTGTTCATATCTATTTTTTAAAATATCACTAGAAATGTCACCTAAAAATGTTTGTTTTACCTCTTGAAACTTCAAATTACAGTTTGTTTTTTGTTTTTTTAAACAAAGTGATACTATGTTACAGCTTTGTGCCATGAGCAAAACCCAGTAAAATTACAGTAAGCACTTAAACTAATAAACGTTTGTGTCAGTAAAATTACAGTAAGCACTTAAACTAATACATGTTTGTGCCTTTCTGACAAGGAAAAAAATCATCTTTAAGCAGGTAGATAACTATGTATTCACAAGGCTCTGTTTCTATTAAAATTAAAGGTCAGGAACAAGTCTTTAAAATTTCTTTTTTTTTTTACTGGATCATTCTGTGGAAACTGAGATGATGATGTCCAGGGGCAAGGGAGGCAAAACCTACTTTTCTGACAAGTGTTCAAATTTGTAAAGGTGCTTATTAACACAAGCGTACTGTGTTCCTGGACTTCAGAACCACAGTTAGCTTATTTTTTCTCCTGGCTTCAGATGTATCAGGTTTTTGTTTTCCTCTTTGTGTTTTGGTTTTGTTTTGGTCTGGGGTTTTTTTTTGCAGCTGTAACAGTCTGCTGAACAAACTTGGGTCTCTTAGCATTAGTTCCTTCAAACAAACAAAATAATGCCTTTATTATTATGTCAGCAGTGTCAGTCTACTACTTTCATGATTGCTTTTTGTTCTTGCTTCAGGTGGATAGAACAATTTCCCCTATAGATCCACAGGGTCACTGCATCTTTTTTCCTTCACTCCAACCCACCACACTATTCCTGATTCTTGGATATTTAAATGCATCATTCCTCCATCTTTCATATGTTTCCTGTTTACTTGTATCATAAGATCTTTAGATCATGGCCTGTATCTATTTTTGTATATCTACCACATCATTTCTCTGATGCTAGTCCAGGCACAGAGGTGACACTGTCATATAAATAACTTGGTCAAGTTAAGACAGTAGAAGGTAAAAGTGCCTTTGAAGGAAAATGCTCATTATTTACTGCTGTATGCTCAACTAACAGATGGTGGTTATCTTTGGATTACTCTAAAAAACACTCAAGATTTTTTTTTTAACTTGGAAAATATGCCTTACTATTGAAATGAACTAAAAGGTGTTGCAGAAACTAATTCCTATTTACAAAGATATTATTACAACATACCTCTGAGTAAATACATGCAGTTAGATCTCATAACTGGTTATTGCTGAATTCTGCCTACCTTATAAGAAGTACAATTCAGCCCTCTTGTGGTTATTTGCAAGCATGCAAGTTTCTTCATTTGTGGAGAACTATATTAAGAACATAGACTCTTCATACATTTTTCAAAACCTCGAGGTTCACAAATTCTATTAGCAAATCAGTGATCATAGCTTGCAAGAACTAATTTTGTCATAATCTTATGCTGTTGTTTAAATCTATAGGATTTTGGTAGACTAACTGAGAAATTTGGGAACATCCGAAAGTTTTAGGGAGTAAAGAATTTCCAGTTTTCAAAAAAATCTTGTCTAGGGTAATCTATATAGAGTGGTAATATGTTGTAGATCAAGCTTGTAGAGAGAATGTATAGTTCTTGCCATATAACACCAACACTTTTCCTTCTGTTAGGCCTATACGATTAATTCCGGCTCTCTGCAGTTAGGAAACAACTTTTAATAGTACTTTGCTTAAATCCTATGAGCTCAAGTGAAAAATTGCAGTACTAACAAAGGTAGACACCATTTGTCTATTATGACAAACCATTTTCCTGTTAAGACACCTTTAATGACACCAGTACCATTAAAAAGGAAACAAAGTTCTAATAAAGCATTTTTGCCAGCAGCCTCCACTTTTTGTAGCGTTTAAAAAACAACAAAAACCCAACACACAATGCAGAAAAAAACCACCCCACATATGAGGAACTTATCCAGAAATTTGTGGAAAGCCTTTTGTCAAGAGTGTGCTACATCACTGAGGTCAATGTCTGTCTGTCATTTTTAGTGGAGAGTGGATTTGTACATTCTGTCGAGATTTGTCCAAGCCAGAAGTTGAATATGACTGTGATAAACCCGCTCAAGGCTCTGAAAAAAGAAAATTGGAAGACACCGTGGGTTTGGCGCCAATAGACCGTAGGGTAAGGATAAAATAAGTACTGTCTTGCTGCTGCTTGTATTCTGAAATGTATGCATCTTTTTAAAAGTGATGGCAAAAAAGGAGAACTAACTTTTACATAAGCTCTGAGATCATTGCAACCTTCATGTAAACATGCTGAAAAACACATTCTGAATGTCTGAGGAGTGGTTGTGATCTGGTGCTCTGAAATGGGACTGTGTTCTAGGAATTACCAAGTGCTGTTTCTAACAGAGCTCTCGTACACAGTGACCTTGCATGGAGAATTTTTTCTCTGTGCGTTCCAAATTTGGCATAGATTGACATTATCAACTGATAGTTTTAGTCTTTAAAGCACTTTGTCAACATCATTTTTAAAAATTAAGGTGGTTCTTTCATAATGAAGATATACAGATATGCAATACTGATATTGCAGACATTAACACTAGTCTCTGGGAATAACTGCTATCTGTTTTGCAGCTTTTGAATGTTCTGGTGGAAAAGCTACAAAGCAAGCAGTGGATTTCCAATTTTTGTTTTTTTCCTTGAACCTCAGAGTTAAAAGAAAAAAAATTGTGCCTTTGAGCAGACAGTTGAACTGCTTGACAGAATCTTTTGGATTCTTGGGGGTTTGGGGAGGGTGTTTTCCCTTTTTTAAATTTTTCTTATTGCTTTGTAGTTGTTTTATTATTATTTAAAACTTTTTTTAAGCAATTTTGAGCTGTATTGGAAACTTTCAGCAGTGTTTTACTTGGTTTCAGTTGGCAACTTGTGTAAATACACTGAAATTAGTATTTTATTTGGTGTCTTAATCTACCTGTATAACCATTATTTACATGCGCTGCTACCTAAAATGAAAAAAAAACTAGCTCTGTATTTTGCTTTAAATGTAAGTTACAAAAATGTATGTTATAAGACCTGCAAATATTCTGACAAAGGATCAGCAAGCAGAAAATCACACGAAACTGTTCTTAGAATCTCTTTCAAGGCTCAAGATCCAGTTTAATGTATTTGGATACACAAAGAAAAGATACTCCTTCCTGCTGCTAACAAAAAGCACTGTAGGCTTTGAAGTTACAGAGCAGTTATTCCCAGATCAGGAAAAATATTACTGCTATCTCTGAGTATTTGTAAAGCACCAAGAGCCACGCATGCTTTTTTTATTCCCTGGAATGTCTACTGGGCTTGAAAATGCTGAATAACACTGTTAGTAACTGTATGAGATTTCATAGCATGCATTTGAGAGTTGATAATGATGTATCTGTTGCAGAGAAGGAATTCTGTAGGCCACCAGCTATGACAGTTAATCTTGCTTCCACATACAGTTTGTGTGCTCACTTCCCTGCTTAGGGGCTGGGGGAGTACTCAGCATCTGTTTGGTATTTTCTGTAGTTTGTTATTTTAGAACAAATCACGTAGGAGTCTCTAATTACTTGGCTCTCTACTTTTCTTGACGCAGAAGTGTGAAAGACTGCTGCTATACCTCTACTGTCATGAAATGAGTCTTGCTTTTCAAGATCCAGTTCCTCCCACTGTATGTACTTCACTTGTTTCCATTTTATTTTAGTAGCATAATTGGAACGTTTCTTATGGCGTTTTTATGTCCCATCATGCATGGTACATTATCAGAAGGCAAATTTCCAAGCCCTTGAGTGTATTAAATGTGTTTAACTTTATTAAAACTGTCTGAAGGGGAATTAAAAGTTGAAGCATTGGATTTGAAGGGGATTTGCTAGTAAAATTCCCCAAGAACTGATTTTACTTAATTCTCCAATAATAGACACAAAAATTAAGTTTTGACACTGCTGATTTCACAATGCTGAGTGATATCACTAAAAAGGTGAATTCAGTTATGTTTGTTTTTTTAAAAAAAATTACTTGGTTTCTGAGAATTAAAGTGCTCCATAGTACTAACATGAAACTGAATTTTTTATTATTAGCTTGAAATTTATTTTAACACAGTAAATAATACCGGGGTGCATTAGGAGTCCAAGGATACATGGAAGAGTTACCAGTGTGATCAGGTGAAAAGTACATTGTTTTTACTTCTTCAGGACAAGTCAATGGGAAAAGAATTCATCAATAAGTAATATGCTCCTATGTACCCTTTTTATTTCATTTGAATAAGAATTCTTCTTTTGAAGAACATTCCACAGAGTTTAATAATAAGACAGGACACGAGATTAATTGATTAATCATATGATGGTCATGTATTACTAAATTCAGGTATTATAGCATTTCTCTTAAAATATGAATCTAGTTAGGAAAAACGATAAAAATATTATGATTGCATTTCATATCTTGTTTTCTAATTTCTAGTTCTTTCTAAAGAAAGAATAAATCTTAATCTTACAACTACAGTTTAAGGTGCCAAAATCATTGATATCTCTGAAATTTTCCACCATTTCCAAGGACATATTTCATGACCAAAATTTGTTTTAAGCAACCCGTGTACCGTCTCTGGGTGAGTTGCCAAAGTTGTTATATGGTGGTTTTGAGAGTGAAACTTTAATAGTTGGCTCATTTCACTACATCAAAAAATAATGTCCAAATTGTTTGCTCTATGGTATGTAGTCAATGTAGGTTAGTTTTTTATTTGTTTTTCTTTTATTTTAAAATAGGCATTGAGAGGAGTACATTTTAGCCAGCAAAACTAGCTTTCCAGTTCACTGTTATTCCAGAAACTGTCTGCATATATGTTAAAAGTACAATTTTCTATCTTAGAATTTTATGTTGAAGATGAGACTAAATCTTGCCCCCTCCCTCAGAGCTAAAGGTTTATAAAATAAGTAATGAACATAGCTGCATTCAGTAAAAAAAATTATTTTCCACTTAGGTTCCTGATTACTACAAAATAATCAAAAAGCCTATGGACTTGTCAACCATCAAGAAAAGACTTGAAGTGACCAATTCATTCTACACAAAGCCGGAAGATTTTGTGGCTGATTTCAGACTGATTTTCCAAAACTGTGCTGAATTTAATGAGGTTAGAAAAGTAGATACGTTTATCTGGTTTTGTAGGCTTAGTTGCTTTCAGGAAAACTGTAGTGGGGGTAGAACTTACAACACAAGAATTTACTGTATTAAACAAACTTTGATGATGAGACCGCAGTGAAAACGTAGATCATGCTTGAAACTACTGTGGTGTTAGATGGCTGTGCAGTGTAGAACCTTCCATAGAAGGAAAGAGGATTGTAACAAACACGCTGGCTGAATGGCAGGACACAGGTAAAGAACAGGGCAATTGTTTTTCATAGAAGTTAATGATGGGCATTTGATTTAAAAATGGGTTTAATCCTCCTTGCCTCAAATCTTAAATTCAGTGGGATTTTCATTCAGGGAAACTCTGTACTCACCCTTATGATTTCTTATTGCATGATGAGTGATTATTGTTATCCCTCACTGCACATAAGGGAACACGTGGTGAAAAAGAGATGCAGGACCACAAAATGAGCGGGAATTCCACCGGGAATAAAGATTTCTCTAAGTGGCCTCAATGGGGTTCTCATCCAGTCATCCTCAATAGCTGGGAATACTTCTGCCATGGTGACCTCCACTTCAGGAAACTGATCAGCTGTGGTGGCTATGAGTGACTTTAGGACTGCCTAATCTTAGGTTACAGTCATCATCTATCCTAGTAATAATTTCAGAATAATTAAAAAAGGTCTGTAAGCTAGAGAAATTCTAGCATTTCAAGCAGTTGTTCCAAAACACTTCAACACCCTGAAGGCTTACCTATATATTTCACAGCATAACCCAACTTTGGGGTTTGTTTCGGGGTTTTTTGGTGGGGTTTTTTGTTTGGGTTTTTTGTGGTTTGTTTGGGGGTTTTTTTGTTGTTTGATCAAGATTTAAGAGTTTTTAGAATCTCTTTATATAGCTTTCAGAACCCAGGCAGTATGGCTTTTGCAATTGGCTTTTGTGATAATCCATCAGAGAAAAAAATCATTGGGGGTGTTGGCCAAAAAAATCTGCCCTCGCCCTCTGTTTTGTAGGCTTGTGCTCTTTGGGATCCTGTGTTCCACATGTTGTACTTTGTAAGAGCATTTAAAACTAATGTGATCTAAGTATAAAGCTATTTCGTGATGCGTTGATGTTGTTAATTCACCCAACAGCCTGATTCAGAAGTGGCTGATGCCGGCATGAAACTTGAAGAGTACTTTGAAGAACTTCTAAGGAACCTTTATCCTGAGAGAAAGTTCCCTGTACAACCCAACTGCCAGAGTGAAAAAAATAATCCAGAACATACTGATGACTCAGATGATGACTTTGTACAGCCCCAGAAAAAACGCCTCAAAGGAGAAGACCGTCAGTTGCTTAAATGAGCCGCATGTGTTACTACAGAACGTTTTTTAAAAACTAAGAATATTTATCACTGATAATTGTGAAAAGGGGAAGAATCATGACTGCTTTGACTTGTAGGTTTGTGAATATTTACTAGACTTTCTACCCCTTGTCTGAAACACAAACCTAATGGAGATCAAGGCATGTGGAGAGCTGCTCTGAAGTTCCAAACTTTTATCGTACTTCTGGAGCAGCACAGAAATTGGCATTTGTGTGGGGTTACAGCTGTTAAACTTTACTTCGAGGAAGAAAAGAAGTTTGTATAGAATTGAACTTTAAATCATTATATGCCTTCAACATGTGGCTTTCTGAGTTTGAAGGAAATGTGATCTCACCAGACTTAATTTTACCAAAGGCATGTGGCTGGCCATAATTTGATTTCTTTGTACTGTATTTAACACAAGCCATGAAAACAGATGGTGTAATATTATTGTCCTGCAATACTGACTGGTACAATGAAAGCGTAGTTGCCCCCAAAGAAGTTATTGGCAATTTTAAAATGTAAGGGAGAGCGTATTTTAAAAAAAAAAAAAAAAGGAATTTGAGAGTTTTTAACTGAGGAAGTAAAGGACAGAATACTTTGTTTTGCACCATTTTTCTCACCACCAGCAAGAAGCAATGGTATTCCTGTAGTATTTTGTTTAACAGGTGTCTCAAGTTTGATGTACCTCTGTTTAATGGAGTTGATGGCAAAGTCTCGAGGGGAAAAATGTTTTCTTTCAACTATCAGTCAGTCTTTGTGTATGTTTGGAGAGGGGAAAAAAAGCATCCTTTCTGTCCACAGTCTCTTGTTGTTTTTCCAAATTTCTAAATATGTTGTCAGAATGCAGCCAGCACGGTTATTCACTTGGAAGTACACACATTTGAAGAGGCGGAGAAAAAGATACTACTCTTTAACCCTTTGTCCCTTTTAAATCACCAGAAGGTGAGGAGAAATTACCTTTTTCTGTTCTGTCTACTTTCCAAAAGCATTGACAACAATATAGATGGTTGTTTCTGCCCTCAGAGATTGCAGAGTTAGAGAAGTACTTGTTTATGGTTGCTCCAGCTATTGGTTTATACTCTTCGTTTATGTCATCTTAAATGGAAACTGAGTTTTCAGGAGAGCAGGCAGTCTTTTGGATTAATTGAGCTCTGATCGTGCCAGGATTTTGCAGATGGAATTGCGAAGAAATCTGAGTGTACACAAGCCTGCTTTTGACTTGCTATGTAGTACTGCTGTGGATAGATGATTGAAGAGACAAGATACAAGGGCTGCTTGTGTCTCCCTGCTACATACATATGCAATCAGAAAAAGGCCTTTTTTTGCTCCTCACCAGATGAGATGCTACCCACCTGCCTTTGTCATAGGATGGCACTGCACACTTGTTCTTTTGAAGCGTCTACTACATTCATTGCATTGTGTTTGCAGCTGGCCTTTGACATAGTTTTTGAAAGGCCATCATGATTTAGTTGGTTTTTAAGCTGCCCAGAGTAATCACAGTAACCACTTATTTATTTTTCTTTTTTTTTTTTAATTACCTGAAGAGAGTTGCTTGTAGCAGGAGTTTTACCATCCCAGAGTACCAGAAAAAAAGGGAGAGAGGCAAAGGAGCAGAACAAGATGGTGAGAGAGACCGTTCTAACAAAACAGATGTGATCAGTGCACACGAGAGCGGCACACACCTAAGAAATAAGAGGCACTGCCATTGCAACATTTGAAGTCTTACAGATCTAGCAATGCCTAGAAGTCCTAGATACCTTGTCACCAAGCATAACAGTCCTTCCAGAGGAAGGTGCTGTGTGTTCCTCTGGACTGTAAGTTAGAATCATAGAATCATAGAATGGTTTGGGTTGGAAGGGACCTCAAAGATCATCTAGTTCCAA